TAAATCTGCTTAAGATAAAATAATAATTATTATTTTCGTTACTCAACCTTGCAAGTTTTACATAGGCCATAGTTATAATCATGTAGTTTTCTGCCAAAATTCACCTGCCAATTTGAATTCCCGTGAGAATATTCGACATCCACCAAAATTAAAATATCCGAAATTTACAATTTATTTTAAGAAAATAAGATAATATTGAATATTAATTTCAGATATTTTAATTTTGGTGGATGTCAAATATTCTCATGGGAATTCAAACTGGCAGATGGATTTTGGCAGAAAACTACACAATTATCCATAGTTTAGGCTTAATTTCACCCATGAAATTTTCTGGTGAAATTGGCAAAACTTAAACCATGGGCAAGACAATTCAACCCTATTATTACTATTGTTTAATTTAAACAAAAAAAGAATTAAATTACAAAAATCATATTCAATAAATTAATAATCAATTTTTATTATTACAAGTGATAATAATCTTTGAATTTAAGCTTTTGTTTATTCATTTTATTGTGAAGAATTTTTAGATTAATGACAATCACAGACAATTCCAAAATTGAATGAACAGATAATAAAAAAAAAACCAAATCTATACCATATACATGATTACATGGAAATTATTACATTCTTTTATGAACCAAAAATTTATATTGGATAAAGTTTTAACTTGAAATTAAAAATAAAATTATAATTATTTAAATCTTAGAATTATGTTGTTGAAGATTTTGAAAAGTAACATCTTTGATATGAAATAAAATAAAAAAAGATCTTTAAAAATGATATTTTATAATTTAATGTGGAAATCAAGTTGTGAATTAATAAGTTTTATTGACATTTTCACCAGATGGGAGAATTAATTCATGAGTGATTATTTTAGAGCTTGTAGAATTGGGTATAAAAGTCTGATTATTATTGTCATTAATTGTAATTAACTGGTCATTCTGAACATTATCATTATCAGTATCATTATCACTATTATTATTTTTCAAAATTTTAATATTATTATCATCAATGATGTCTTTATGACTAGTATCTACCACAGCTTCAGTATTACTATCACTATTAGTATATTTGTAGCTATTATCATTGTTTGAAATGATTTCAATATTACTAGTAAATTTATTTTCATTTTGATTTTTATTATGAGTTTGTTGATTTAATTCTCTGTCTTTTTCATCATCATTAACAACAACATTATTAACCATTTCATTGGATTTCTTTTTTCTTCTATATATAATAAGAATAGAAATAAGAGCAATGATGAAGATTGCACCAGATGTAACTGATCCAATAATTATACCAGTAGTTTGTTGATTAGCAGCTGCACTGGTGGTGGTTGTATCTATTGAAGGATCAAATGTGTCCAACCATTTGTAATTATATTTGTCACTAATATCTAATAATAAGATACCACTACCACTACCACTCATGTAGCCTATTATTATTATTAAATATAAATATAATTTATATAAATAAATAATATATTTATGTATGAATTTCAAAGATTATTATCATAAGTTACCAAATGAGATTATCATGTAATGTTTATATAAATTTGAGGTATGCCCAAAATGGTTTTCATCAATTAGATTAACAGGATAATTAGTGATGTTTGTTGGAACTGTCCATTGAAAAGGAGGTTTTGTTACATCCAATATCACTATTTTGTCTGATTTTTTAGTACCACCATACACAATTATCCTTCCATCAGGTGCTAAAAACAAATAGATATAAATTAAAAAATATATTTAATTGAATAATTAATCATAAAATTAATCAATTTACTTAATACTGAAGAAAATACTCTATTTCGTATAGAAGGTACATCACCAACTGTTGTCTAATATAACAAACCATTTATTAGTATTTTTTTAGTTGAAATATTATTATTGATTAAGGATACCGGCTGCAACTTTTGATGATGGTTGCTACCATCTTTGCGTCATATAAAAATGATTGCAACCACTGGTTGCAACCACCTTTACAACCATTTTGTTTCCTTTTTTGGATTGCGACATGGAACACTATTATTGATGATTATATAACTTACAATATTAGACCATGAATTTTGATTAATATTATACAAGTATATCTAAACATAATATGTATTATTAGAAAATATAATATTCTCATTCCTTTTATTTTAATTAAACAATAAAAGAATAAATTATAATATTACTTGAGTTGTATAAAGATCAAGGTAAATTATAGTCTCATCACCCAATGCATGACAATTGAAGTGATGTGTGTCTATTATAGATGGACCATTATTACTTGGTGTTAGTGTTGTAAATATCAAACTTTTGGAATTGAATTTATATATATTTGGATCAAAAGAAGTGACTATATATATGTTTCCATTATTATCTTGTGTATACATTGTTGCACCAACTTTATTTAATTGTAATTGTCCATTTAGGGTCTCTGGAGTCCATGTATCAAATGAATTTGTATTTATTGAATAAACTATAGATCCATAAGCTGTAGAACCAGGTTCTACACCTCTATATCCAGCTATAACATAAAGTGTGTCATTATTAACTCCTCCTAATGCTAATGATGCATGATAAAATGAAGGTATTGCTGATTTTGGAACAATTAGTTTTATTGGTAATGTTTGATTAAGTGAAAATGATGTGGATAAATCTAGATAAATTATTTGGTTTGTAAGTTCTAAAATGAAGGAAAATCCTCCAAAATAATAGAGTTTATCATTTAACACTATTGAATTATGATATGATATATCTAATGATTGACCAGAAACAAAAAAATTGAAACTATCTAATAAAAATAAATTGAAAATTATTATTAATAAATTTAATGATTTTAAATAGTTATGATGATGTTTCATTAAATTATCCATTTTTTTAAAAAAATTTTAAGTATCAAAAATAAATCTGCGTTGTCTTCAAAAATGAATATTCTATATAAGGGAATTGATGATGTAGAAAATAAAAAAGTAAATGTTTGCTATTTCTCCAAATATTAAAAAATAAATCTATACAGGTGTGCAATTAAAATTTTTACATGCAGCAAAGCAAGTGTTTGTTTGGTTATTATCTCCAACTATGCACCATTATATATATAAAAATCAATATTGGATTTATTGCTACCACCATCCTTGTTGAAACACAAAATTCCTTAGCCAATTAAGTGGTTCGCAATAAATAGTGTGACTTCATAGAATATGTTATTTTGCTATTTAAAAATCTTTCTCTGTGTGTGATAAACTTTCTTCATTAGAAATTTTAAATTGTTACTTAAACAGAATGTCAAAATATTTTTAAAAAAAAAAACCAAAATAGAGGTTTTTGATATTAACTTTATTTAGCAAATTTAAAGAAGAAATCAATCTTATTATATCAAAAATAGGATAATGTATTATTAAATGAAACAATTGACAATAACATTATGACAATTTGATAATTATATTGATGATATATATCATATAATAGTAACAAAAAAATAATGACAAGAATTATTTATAATCATCTAGTTAGCTATATTTTTCTGCAGTACTTGCAATAACTGATTTTACTTAACATCAATAAAACAGATACTTTTTAATTTTGAGAAAATGGGGTTCTGATCCGATTTTTCAAGTGCAGTTTGAAATCAATCTAAAAATATGCTCATTCAAATCCGTTAATTTGTTCAAAGCATGCTTTTTAAAGGGAATTTTTTCTTTTATTTGACTTATAGTGGACAAACATCATGATAGACTGCTAGTACTCCACCTTCTTGTTTGCTCCGCTTTCCAAGAAACATTCAAAACATTCAAAGAGCTGGTTGAATCACTGTGCTTCTAAAAGTAAATATATATTAAAACTATTTGCCAAGTGTTTTATGGACTTCTTTTATTAACCAACTATTTATATGAATATTCCAATTTGTGTGAGACACTATTACAACCAAATTTGTTAATTAATTAAGAAATTTAAATAATTTATTTTCTTTGATTTATTTCATATCAGCAGATTTTTGCGTCTTTTTTCAAACCTTATGTCTTATTGTGTCACGATGTTAAACACGAGTATTTTTAATGTGTAAACTGGTCGGTAGAATGATAATTACCCTAAAAAAAATTATTTGCTC